GTGGAAAATATGCTTGGCTCTAATGCATCAAGAGTGCCAGATAATCCCAAGTTTCTATTTTTGTGATGGGAACACCATTAGTTCACCTAAAAAGCTTTTTGATGCTTTGCAAATCAAAAGATTGTGTCTAGTGTAATTTTCTGTGGACCTGAAAGTCTTATAATTGCTTACCTTTTAATCTCAGCTAATGGGAAAGTTCTTACAAAGCGTTACAGTCTCTCCTACTGACCTACAATCTAGACTGATCCAGCAGAAAAATATATTCTTCCTGTTTGTCCCACATAGGACTAACAGAAATGTTAGTCTCTTAAAGCTGAATTGACACTTTTTACCTTTTGGAGGAGAGCTGAAGAATTATTTGCCACAATATTTTGCTGTGTTGTAAAAGATATGTTCTTAGTTTCTAAGTTGAGGATATTCTGGATTTTTTTTTTTTCTTTTTTTTAAGTTTCAGAAAGATGGGCATGCTAGAGCAGCACTTGCAGGAAAATATCTTGCTATGTTTAGCTTGATTTGCGTCCAGCAGCTGCAAGCAAGGATCGAGATTTGGCTGATCAAAGTTTTATGTTTGAGAAGATAGACTTCCAGCACATTGCTTCTGCAGAAATACTTGTTTAACTCCTGCAATTGAAAGGGTTTTGTCTCTTTCTAAGTGTTTAGGCCGCTTTAATATCTCTTTTCCCCTTCATTTTTCTGTCTGTGTTCCTGTGCTTTTTTCTTCTCTTTATGTAATTCTGTCTTTCAGACCCAAAAGCACATAGAAAGAGAATGTTAAATAATGAATTTTAGGGAACATATTTTTTAAATATCCTTTTAACTAATCAAAGAAAGTAGGGACTGCGTTTACATCAGGAAGCCTTTTTACAGGAAGCATAGTGTTGGAAACTTTTGTTTGTTTGTTTCTTGGTAGCCTGCATCTGCTATGAAGACAATGGCTTGTTGGTATTTTTAATTGAAGAAATATTATGGAGATCTAAGCCCCTGTGTAAGTAATCATTATTAAGAAATGCAATGAGCAAGACTGTTACCCTTTTAATAGACCCTTTTGAATTTTTGTACTTTTACAATAACTTTTTAATTCTCTGTCGCTTAGTGGAAAGCCTTAGGTAACCTCCTTCGCCGTGTGACTTTGAAAGAAGAAGGGCTCATGGGTTAGTGCAGGTCAGTAAAAATAGTTGGTTTGCCCTCAGAGCTGCTGACTGCACTTGCTGCTTTGCTCAGGAGCTGTAATCATTCTAACGCTTTAGCCAGGATGTTGAATGCAGAGATTCCTGTGGTTGTGTTGAAGAAATAATATTGAAATTGCACCATAAATCTACTAGCAGATTTGAGACATAGCACAACATTGTTCTTCGGTGCAAAAAACAAAAAACTTCTTTGCCTTTTTATCACATGATTGTGACTATTTTTTTTTTTTTCTGTCTGGCATATATTGGAGTTGCTTGGCTCAGACCATAGAAAGAAAAACACATAAAAGGGGTCATTCTTGATAGCGGCATGAAGAAATCCGCTGTTTTAAACCAAGCATTTCAATAACGTTTACACTGTAGACTGACATAACTGGTGATGTTACCATTGTATGGAGGGGGAAAAATCCCATCATAAATACTTTAAGCTATTAGTGGAATCAGTAATTTCAATATAATTCAGATTTTGTGGTCTAGACTTTTTAAAACAATTTCTGAGAACAGGTTGTGTGGGTAGTGCATTCCGCTTACATTTGCTTCCCGTCCTGACAAGTCCAATATCAAAATTATTGTCTCTTTTTCATTTTCCATGCAGTGAAAATGTTCTATGTAATAATAAATTTTAGTTTTAACTTCTTACGAGACAATGTTCTGTAAAAGACTGAGAACAAGAACAGGCAAGTTTGGTGCTTGAAAATATTTCTGTTCCTAATGAGGTACTGAGTTCTTGTTCTATTATGCAGACCATCCAGAAAGTTATTAAAACAACTTTAATTGACTTTACAGCAATATGTAGATTGTATTTGTTAACAAAGTGGGAGTTTTAAATTTCAAGACTTTGAGATGTCCTTTCTTCAGATTACAAAGATAGTATATTTAGGGAGCAGAATTACTTTGTTTTATGGACTCAGTCCTGTGCTAGATTAATTTGGACAGAATGATGTAACCAAAGATTTTACTAAGATCTAAGGCATTTTAACCGCTTTGCTGGTGACTTCCCTTGTATTATTATTATTTTTGTTTTAACATAGATTTTTTTGGTATTCAAAATTCTACATTGTGGATTAGCGTGATGACTTTCAACCTTATGTTCTATGTTATCCTTTCATGCGTTGCAGTAATTTGTTGGCAAGGCTGTTTAATATGCTTGGCTACTTCTCTTGTGCCATTGCATGAGATTTTTAATTTAATAATATGATTCTGATGTCTGGCATAGACTATGTAGGTTTTTTAAAAGCCTTAACGACTCTTAGCTAACTTAGGTCAATGCTTGTGAAGTCAAGAAGAAAGAAATTTTAAGCTAGTATTGCTGACAGAATATGATAAACTGTTAAGTAATTAAGTACAGTAATCTTGAAATCTTTGTCACATTCCAGTAAACAGAATATAGGATTGTAGTGTGAATGCTACTGTTAAGAAATATTTATTTATGTCTGAGCTGTAACACATGGTCTTTACAAGGAGATAATCACTTTGATCTTTCTAGTGTTACCATTTCTCAGTAATTCAAATGATAACTTCATAGAAGTATATTTGAGGTGCTCAAGCAAGTGGGCACTCAGTAAACCTGTTATTACTATTTTAAGTAAATAAATACTACTTTTCCACTTGGATCCTTCTGTCTACCATTTTACCTTGGCTCATATAAAGAGAGATATAGAAAGATATGGGTGTGTTAATTAGCTATATAACACAAGACTGAAAAATAGTAATAGCAAACTCATCACCTGATAACACTCAGATATTGCAGAGAGCTTGGAGGGCCAAAATAAGGAATTCCAGTTCTTGGTTGCTTGAGCATCAGGGAAAGGAGGAAGGTGGCTCATGATGCAGAGCATGGTGAGCAGTCCTGAAGCAGTGGAGATCTGGCTTTCCAAGAGCACTTTTGAAATTGCAAAATTGTGTGACTTTATATACGTTGCCCCCCCCGCCTTTTTATTTTTCTTTTTTGGTGAGAATCCGGGCTAAGCAGATTAGAACTTGAAAGCACTTGGCTGAAAGCACTTATCTTGAAATCTGTTTGTGTTTTGGCTCAAGGTACAGTTTGGTGCAATGGCAAACTGCTACCATAAGAAGTGCTAGCAGAAGGTAGCATAAATACCACCAGGCCCTACCGCTTGGCTTTCTGCAGTTTAATGATGCGTAGTTTAAAGACAGCTGCTGTGATGGAATTGTTCTTGGATGGTTTTACTTCTCTATGTGAGTCTATGAAACAACAAGCCCGTCTTCCACAGCAGTACTGATTTAAAGTGTTGGACTTTTCCAACCCCTTTCTATTCCAGCCCCTGACCTTAATCATGCCGCATAACTATGGACCGCTGTGAACAAAATAAAGATGACGTGACCCTGACAGAAGATTCTTTGTGCTATTAGGCTCTCTCCTTAGGCTGTTTCCTCTTCCCTGAAGGATTATACACAGTCTTTGCAGGACTGAGCATGGTGTTAGTATTTGGCTAGCGTGTAGAGTGATCCCACTTGAAGTAAATGGAAAGCTTGGAATTATTTAAATAATATTATAAATAGATGCAACGCTTTAATGAGACTAAAATTACTGCAAAAAAATGACTACATGCTGGTTAGGGGAAGATGTTTGAGATAAATATAGATTGCTTCTCAGAGCTAGAATTCAGTAATTATTCATGTTGAGGTTATTGGTATCACGTGGTATCTGATTTTCTGCATGCTACAAACTGATGCAATATTTCAGTATTGAAAAAACATGACAATATAGCAGGTTGATGCAGTTATTACTACCAGAGATTAAGTTCAGGTATTATGAGATGATAGAAAGTTCTGATGGGCTTGTGTATTGAAACAAAGAAACATTCTGTTCAACAAAGAGAAGCTTTGGAGCAGATGCTCTCCAGCTTTGCAGGCTGCTGGATTTGTTGCTGAGCTCTTTCCCTGTTAGTTAAGTATTTCCTAGCAGCTGCAGACTGCTCTATTCTACCTGTGCGATCAGAGTTTCTTCTGGATAAAAGGCTAATTTAATATTCGAAAGGAGTAAGCCAACTTCTATAACATTATATAAAAGAACATAAATATATCACATATACATCTTTATTAAGATGATACAATGTGGTGTAGAGAAAGGGATATAACAAAATCAATAAATCTGTCTATAATAATACAATTATTATCAAAATAAACTTCTATGCTACCTTGTCTAGAAAGCCTTGCTTTTGCTCTAAGTATGCTAACCAAATAAACAGAGTCACATTTTTTTTTTTCTTCTTGCATCTTTTGATGTCCAGGTAGTTCCATAGGTTCATACAAGGTTAAAATTTTCAACCTTTCTGATATTTTTAAATGCTTGCTTGTGAATTTAGGGAGAGTTCTTTATACTGTGGTAGCGCCAGGATACTGCTGCTGTGTAACGCCTGTGTTACACAGCCAACGCCTGTGTAAAAAGATAGTGTATTTGTAAGATTTCTTTGTCTATTTGTTCATCAACAAGCAAACTTTCAGCAGAGAGGGGTAATAGGTTGCAGCATTAAAAAGTAAATCCTTTTTGAAACAGGTGGTTTAGTGAACATATTGTGACCTTATGTAAGAGCATTGACTGATATCTCCTGAGACAGAGGGATGGCGTATGGAAGAAGGATTATGATTCCAGCTGTGAGTGTTAGCAATATCATCCTTTCTGTGTCAGATTTTTCAAGGTGAAAGATGTGCATCAGAAAATCTTAAGAGAAAATTGTGCTTCTGCAGGTTGGTTATTTGTCATATTTAAGTTGCCATAATCAAGTTTGACAGGCTTTTCTTTATTTTTATTTTTTTCCCAACAGACAATACTATTGCTGAAGATTAGTCAGATGCCTCCCGCCCATTCCCTGCCTCATGTGCTATGTCATGCAAACTTTGAAACCCTTAGCACATAATTTAAGCGAATGACTAATTGGGCTGGCATCATGGAAGGCACTCATACCATCCTGCAATTGCACAGACCCATTATAGAGCTTTGTTACGTCAGCTTCTACCTTCCAGAGGGGCAAGTCAGAGGATTTACTTACAAGCACTGCGTGACTTTGGACAGAACAAGAAAACGCTTTTGTGATTGCTATCAGGTAAGGGAGAGATTGGAGGCGGAGCTGAGAGAACAGCCACAGGAAAGCTTTGGAGATATTTATTTCAAGCCAACTACCACGAAAGACATTCTCATTGAACTGTTCAAACTAACTGCTGAAAAGGAAAAACTATTGTCTACTCTCTTGAGTTCACATCATATTTTGGACAGTAGCAAAGGAAATTGGCAGGGAGATCTACAAAATGTTTCTGGGGGTTCAAAACTTCAAGGTAATGATAACTCCAGTATTATGCATCACCAGGAATTCTTGCTGGACTCTACCAATAAAGAAAGTTTTACTCATGAAAAAATTAGGAAATATAGAAGGAAAGAGAATTTTGAGGAATTCAAACAGAGGAAAGGGAAAAGAAAGGTACGCCAACAACATCCTCCTTTGCTGAGTGAGAAAGACGTGCAATTAGAAAATGAGAAGTTTTCTGCAGCATTTCCTACCAGGAGATTATCCAGTTCCTCTTCTGTCTCTGGCTGGCTAACAGTGAAAGATAAGGATGATTTAACAGTAGATTTGCAACCAGAAAGATGGATAAAAGAGGGATATTTTCTTAAAAGCAATAAACCTTTGAAATTGGATGCTGACATATCTGGTTCTGTGTCCAAAAGCAACAAGGACACGGTTCCAGTTGAACTATTGGATTATGGAGAAAGTATTCCTAAAGTTAGGAAAGTCCAGCAGAGTATCACTTTGGAAAACTTGCATCAGGACAGACTGTCTAACAAAACTGAGCCCTTAAATAAATCCACATCTGCAAAACGCTTGAAAGGTAACAAGTGCACTGAGCAGGGGTGCAAGGAGAAGCCCACAGTCAGAGCGGTTGCTAAAGCACAGCATTCAGGAGCCTCTTTTAAAAAGGTTGTAAGAACTCACGCAGAGCCTTTATGTGATTTTCAAGGAGATGAAGCAACTGCTCCTGCTCCCGCAGCAGCAGCCAGCGTGTTTGTACCCAGCACGGCTGCGTTCTCTGGAGCCGGAGCTGCTGGCACCTCTGGAAGCTGCGCGCCGCCGGAGAAGGAGCGCGATGACTCTGCTTCGCAGTACAAAGGAGAGCGAGTGCCCGCTCGTGATGAGTCACCTAACCTTGTGGGAGCAGTCAATAAAGCCCTGCTGAAAGTTATCCGGAGTGACAGTTTAGATGAGGCTGCAGAATGGAAGAGGCTGCAACAAATTCCGAGAGTAGACAGAAACCTGCCCGCCTCGGCCTCTGAGAAAAGAGCCGCCGTATCCGGGGGAAGCAGCAAGCGCTTATTTTTGAACCTGCCTGTAAATGAGTGTCCTGATATTTCTCAGACAAATAATAACCTTAAACTGGAAGAGAAAAGGCTGCCTTCACCCTCGTTAGTAGCAGTGAGTAATGTTTTTAGTACTTCATATCCACTATCTAATTCACACAAACAAATGTCACCTATTCCTTCTCCTTTATCTTCAAGATTGCCTAGCCCCCAGCTGCATCATCGGATTCTCCCGTTGCCTGCACAGAACCGGGAGGAAGAATCTATGTTCAGTGACTATTGTGGTGGGAGACACGCTGCTATAAATCTGTCTTTCAATGATTTGGAGCCACAGTTTTATCTGAAGTTCTCGGACCCTGGAGACCTGGGATTCGCCGTCAGACAGCCAGGCCTCCATCAGAATGCACCTGCAAGGCCCTTGGAGAGGCGCGCTGGCCAAGAGAAATTCACTGCCCCGACGCAGCTGCACTTCCGTCCAGGTCAGTCCTATTTCATGCATTTTTAAGCTAGCAAATTGACCGACCATGAAAGTGTCAGGTGAATGCTTTAATATTATTAATAAAGTCTAGTATGTAATACTAGGCTACAAAAATATTTTTTACTGCTTAAGACGGATTGAATAACTGCTTAAGAAAAAAAACAGTAATCTTTTTAAGATTTACTTTCAGATGCGTTGCTTTATGTCAGCATGTATTTGTTACTGAATGACCTCTTAACCCAAGTTAAGCAGGTGCTCAGACAGGAAACATATGAAGCTTTAGTATTTCTTTCATTGTTAACTACATATGGTTGCCTGACTTACTAAGAAAGGCATGCTAATATATCAACTAGTATAATATCTTAATTGCCTAAAAATCCTTCTGTGAAAGGAAAAGTGAGAAAATGTTTGTATATTTACTTTCCTTTCTTTTTTTCCTATGTTCTTCTCTGTCAAAATGTTGTGATAACTTTTGTTATCTAAGGCATTCTTTTTGCTCTGACTTAACATATTGAATTTTATATGAGCAAGCTAACTTTTGTGGCCTTAAATATAGGACCAGAGTTTTGCAAAGTTAGCTATAAAAGCTTGATGAGAATTCCTTAATAACAAAATGATTGCTTTTAAAAGTATTGTGTACAAGAGTCATATATGCTGTATTTGAATAATATGCATGGGTGTATACATAGATATATACTGTGGATATAAATAATAAATATAATATAAAAGGTGCTGCATACTGGACAGCAACCTTGGTTAGACACAACTTCAGCGTAGATATTTCTTTTCTGTTTCTGTGAAGTGGAAGCGTTGCTGGAGCTATAGAGGTCTAGATGTGCTGACCTATGTGTGTTATAGGGAGAGCTGACACTCTAAAAGGGAATAAAATACTAATTAACAAGCTTAGAATTTTCAAGGCAAACAAAATAATTTTCTCTGGTCTTAAAAGAGGAAGCAAGGAAAAGTTATTTAGAATGCTGTTTGACAAGTTGACTAAGCTGATGCAAATACTCCCTAACAAGAAAGATAGGTGCTAAGTTGACATTTTCCCTTGCTAGATTCCTGCTATGGTGTGGAGTCCCATCCCTTTCATTACTTCTTGTGCTAATTGATGTTTTTTGTGTGCTAGTTTAGCTCACTAAATCAGCAGAAAGTTCCATCCCTTTAAGAGACCAAAAGTAGTATGGCTCAATCTTTTCCTCCCCCTTCATATTAGTATTGTTTTAACCCATCTTTATCATTCCCTACATGTGGAACTGGATCTATTGTGATGCTATTTATTTATTTTTAAAGCCCTAAGCTCCCTTCTCTTCAACAATAGCAGCAACAACAACAAAAGAAGCCCCAAAGTCCTAGCTATTAAACGCAACATCTTGGTGGAGAGAACAAGGGCAAACACAACACCTTAATTCCTGTTTACAACTATCTTGCAACATTAATACAGGTAGAAAATACCAGTGCAGCTTTCTGAAGGACACAATGGTATTGTTCTGTTTCAGTGCCCATGTATGACTGCGTGCCAGCACTACTATTCATATGCAGACACTACTGAGACTCTAAGGAAGAGTCTCCTACATTGCCTGCATATATAAAACTACTTAGGATTATAGAACTTTCTGTATTGCTGCTAGCAAGGGTTGAAATCTTTCTTATTGACGATGATGTCTTGAATGTACCGCTGCCCTCTAAAATAACGTAAGTCTAAGTTGATGATCATAATGCAGTAGGGCAAATGATAGGCCGTGCAAGTAATGTTGAGACTTGTGGCTGTGATTTGGATGTATAGACATCAACTCAAGGAAAAGGGAGGAAAAAAATGTGATGCTGGATCCTTACCCAGTTCCTCCCATGCAGGAACAGCAAGATACAAGACTTGTTCAAATTTGTCTTTAGTGAGGCTGTTCATTTTTTTGTCAGTCAGTTTGTACAACCAGTCAGCTGGTTTATTTTGTGCCCTAAATGTGGGATTATGAACAGTTTTTCGAAGTTATGCTATTGTCACGGTTTGTGACAATGTACTTCAATACCGAAGAACATTTGGGACCTTTCATTACCAATGTAACTTTGTATTGGGAAATTTTCAAAAATGGATTAAAGTATTTTAAGTGTAAAACCTCTGAAGTTTGCAGTTCAAATAATGAATTAGACTTATCATGCAGCTCTACAAATAATTTTTCATTCTCTTTTTCAGTTGTTTAAATCCTAAGGTGGTTCACTCTGGATAACTAGAACATGTTCTTACAGTCAAAGCAGAGGCAATTAGCCGAGGCAGAGGGCCTTTGGTTATGTGCTTCCTTCTTGGCTGGTTTGTTTTTTGCTACAGCAAAACCAACTTTTTTTTTAGATTTTTTGTTTGTTTTTTTTTTTTACACCAAATTTGCAAATATTTGATGCAAGTTTCATAGTTGCACAAAATAATTAACTTAAAAGTATAGATAGTATAGGGTCTTCCTTTTGAAATAAAAGCTGTGGCCCACTATTCTATATTAGCAAGTTAATAGTTAACTGAGAAGAATTTCTAGTTCAAAAATAATTACTATATAATTTTCTTGGGTCTTGGGTAAACGGGTCTGGGAATTAACATTCCTGGTTTTGTATACAGTACTTCCATTTGAATTATCAAAGTTCAAAATAAAAGCTTAAGAGTAAATTAAGGCTTTCAAGAAATAATAATCTCTTTAGCATCAAGCAACAAGAACAAAAGTGCTAGCACTTAAATGTTTCATAAAAGGGTATTTACTAAATCCTCAGAAATATGTCCCTAGGAAGCCTGTTCTGTTTTAGCATACAAACACATTATGTTTTCCCACTCCTTACAGTACTCAAGTTTGCTTTTGAAACCATCTTCAAAATCCTTACCTATATGTCTCAGGGAAAGATTTTCTGAATCCTTTCAGTTGGTCCCTATGTTTCTCTGTCAAGGCAATGTTAGATAGAACATTCTGGGGAGAAACTCTCCAGGGCTATTTTGTTTAATTAATACAGAATGATGCTGACATGCGGTCTAACTAAGTGTTGTTGGAGACAGGAGGAAGATTAATGGTATTTTTAGCAGTTATTGAAGTGAAATGCGAATAAAAATAAATAAACCCCAATTATTTATGACCAGCCTTTGTGACTTAAGTCGGTAGTGCTATCGCATCATCCCGGGAGACTGGCCTTGTTTTATGTCAATAGAAAAGACTGGGTTGCGTCATTCAACACACTTCATATATGTAAAAATGCTGCTGTGTGTAAAAAGAAAAAATTGTAAGGAGGAAGGGAGAATGCAAGAAAGAGAATGGATGAGATGGGTGATGTTGCTGCAACCCTCTCAGCCAAACAAGATCACTCATTTTTCATGAGGAGTCGTGAGAGAAGAGTATATCTGATTTAAACACAGGTATTGAAAATTAGAAGACTGTAGAGAAACTGAAACCGTCGTGTGTGGCATAGCACAGTGATTAAAGCTAGTGCCAAATAATAAGGTTAAGCCTACGATACTCAAAGGGACAGGTCTGTTCTCTTCCTCGTCTCGCCTTGTCGCGGCAAAGGCCTCCTCTCTCATTAGCCCTGACACTTTGAAACAGCCCCGTGCTTACGTTCCCTTCTGGCTGTTTGAGTCAGTTCACCAAGCAAGTTGGAGACAAAGCCAGCCAGGAGAGGAGTGAGGAGCTCTGGCTGCTTTAGCGAGCTAAATGGGCTCACTAGCAGCCTGACGAAACCCAGAGCTCCTGGGAGGGAGGGAAGGGGGCTGCGCTACCGGAGAGCAGAAGGGACAGGGGGAAGATCCCTGCTGGCAGCAGAGAATCATTAAGTCTCAAATATTTTGGTTGCATCCTGAAACGGGCTTGGGTTGGCTAAAACAGAAACTGTTGGGAATGGCAAATAGAGATGAATGAGATGGCATGGTGATTCAGAGAGGCTAGGATTTTTTAGCAGGTAGAGTTGGCCCACTTAATAATAGCTCAGTGGGACTTAAGAGCGAGAGGAGATAGTTGAAAAAGGGGAACTGGAACACGCTGGATAGGGAGTCTGGTCTTTGCTGGAATGGAGACTAGGAAGGAAGTATCCCAAAACAAATGGAGCGGGACAAGTTGGAGTTGAGAGGATTCATAGTTTGTGGGAAAATATATATGAGCGTCTCTTACTTGATGTGTGGCATGAATGTAAAAATTCCAGTCCTGCTGATGATCCATGAAGAAGTCAGTATGTTACAGGGGATTTTGGAGAAGTAGGGAAGAGAATGGAGGAAGAAAGATGAAGTGTTTTTTTATTGTTATTTTTAGTCTGAAAAGTTATAACATTTGCTGTGATATGCGGAAGGTATCCTCAGATTACTTTGCAAAACCATTTAATGTAACTGCCTCCAAAACCCAAGCGCTCCTTGGAATATATCCAGACAATTGCAGCTGCATCTATCCTTGCTGATTGTTAGATGGAGGATACTGTTTACTTTGTTATTGTGGTGCAGATTTTGTGGCATTTGGGTTGCTCTAAATGATAGGTATCTGGTGATAGGTATCTGAGGACACAATCAAAAATGACTGTGGTGGTAATTTTATATATTTCTTGATAGGTATGCACTGCTGTTTGAAACCGTGCCCACTGTTAGTGGCTGTCTTTCAGAGACCCATTTTACAGTTTTAACTCATGATGAGAGTCCCTAAAACGATAAGGGGATATTTATGGTATTACGGAGAAATATTTGAATAATTGTCTTTCTATTCTTTAATTGATCCAAAATCATCATATTTCAGTTATCAGAGGTTTTTAAGGGAATAAAATATACTAAGCTACATCTGCATTGTGATAATTCTAGTATCTAGTGATTGAAAAGGACTTTTCTGTAACCACGCTCTGAGAGCTGCCTTGACTCCTAACTTCCAATAACATTTTCCTGGGCTCATCTGTGTTTACATTGTAAGCATGGCTTGCTTACATGTGAATTAAAGCTGTTCTACAAGACATGCCAGATCCATAGTCTTCATTCTGCATGTTGCTAGTTCCGAACTTAAAATA